GGAAGGAAGGAAGGAAGGAAGGAAGGAAGGAAGGAAGGAAGGAAGGAAGGAAGGAAGGAAGGAAGGAAGGATCTTTGGAGAGTCATGTTTTTCCAGATGGTGATGAACTGCAACTCCCAGCATTCCCCACTCTTCCACAGTGCGTTTTAGGGCTGCTGGGGATGGTAGTCCAGTAAGGTCTGGAGATGCACATAGATGCCCTCCGACGGCGAGGGAGGCGCGGGGGAGGCTCCGGCGCGGCACGGAGGGCGGCTGGGGGCGGAGCACAGCCGGGCAACCAGGAGGCAACCAAGAGGCGTGGGGCTCGGCGCCACAGCTCGGCGCCACAGCTCAGCTCAGCTCAGCCAGCAGCAGCAGCAGATTGCTAGAGCAGGGCAGGAAGAGAGGGGACGGTGATGGCAAATCATGAAAGCAGCGTCCACATATTCAGGGTGCAAACGCTTTGGACGGTTTGGCTCCCCCAACCCTTTATTTACTGATCTGCCACAAGCTCGTGCAAACAAGCCCCGAGGAGTTCTGAACGAGCGGTCGTTTAAAAAAAAAAAGCTTTAAGCAACGAGGCAGAAAGGGGAACTCGCTCACGGCTCTTTTTTTCCCCTTTCTCAGCGACTGGGAAGGCAGCAGCCAGAGACGCCGCTGCACAAAGGGAGGCGGAGAGAGGGGCGAGGGGGAAAACCTCACTCAACTTTCGCTACAGATCGACGCTACCCCTCGGGAGTATTTCGCCAGGCTTTTTTTTTTTTTACCTTGGCCCTGCGCTTCTCCCAGACGGAAGCCAGGCAAGAGGACCTGAAAGACGCCAAGCAGGAGGTTCATAGCCGTGGCAACGCGGCAGTAGCTGCTCTGCGATGGGTAGCACAGCCCCACCATGCTGCTGAGGCGGCTGCTTTCCTGTCTGCCCGAGCTGGCTGGCGGAGCTAGCCTTGAGCAGAAATTCTCACTAGTGTCTCGGTTCCTAAGACCATCGGAAATATGTGTTTTCCGATGGTCTTAGGACTAGGTGACCCCTGTGAAAGCATCGTTCGACCCCCAAAAGGGTCATGACCCACAGGTTGAGAACCGCTGCTATAAAGGAAGATTCATCTGAAAGTTATTGGATAAAAAACATGCAGTCAAATTCTATGGCCAAAAGTGGCCTTAAACTTGGATCTCTCCAGTGATAGTCCAACTCTACCATTATACCACACTGATTCTCATTCATTCTCACATTTCTAGTTTTAAAAGTTCCTTTCAGAAGGAGTTAGGGAAAATGAGTTTCTAAAGTGATGGAATGAATCCAAAATTTGTAAGTCTCATGATCTCTGAAACTCCCAGTAGATTTGATCTTTGAAAGGGTTAGAACAAATTGCTGTAAAAAATGTAACAAGAGATATTATTGCCAATGCATGCTGTATAATAAAGCCAAAGAATAACAAGGACAAGTCAGTATATACTTCACTGATTATAGAAAAGTCTTTGACTATGTCAACCATGACAAGCTGAGCAATTGCTTAGGAAAATGGGAAGCCCAGACCATCTCACTCTCCTCATGCAAAACCACCAGACAAGAAGCCAGTCAGGACAGAACATGGTGAAACAGATTGGCTCCAGGTCAACAGAGGAGTGAGATATGATTGTTTACTTTCCTATTTGCA